ACTGCGTCTACCTGGGACACACCTGACGGGGCAGGACCCTGAGGGGGGAGGGGGTCTACCGGGGGAGGACCTGGCGCAAGGAAGAGCGGCGGCGGGGGGAGGGGCGCAGTGCGGTAGGGGAAGAGACGGTAGTAAGGCACCGACTCGTCAAAGGTGACGTCCTGGGAGGACAGAACACGGCGCGAGGTGGGGTGGTAAAACCGCCACCCAGGCGCGTCAGGGGGGAAGCCAAGGAAGACGCAGGGAACGGCACGGGGGGACAGCTTGTCCGCAGACAAGTCGCGAACAAACGCCCGAGATCCCCAGACCCGAAACGCAGACGCATCGCCTACCTTCCCCGTCTACCGCAGGGTGGGGGAGGTCTCTGGCAAGGAGACCCGGGGGTGGAGGTTGAGCTGATGCGCTGCGTACTGAACCGCAAACGGCCACAGAAAATGGGGGGCAGCCGCATGGATCATGGACGTACGAGCGACGTCCATGACCATGCCAATGCGGCGCTCAGCAATCCCATTTTGCTGTGGAGAGGCCGGAAGCGTGAAGGTCTGGCGGATGCCCTGTGCTCGACAGAAGGCTCCCAGACGGGCAGAGGAAAACTCCCCGCCTCTGTCAGAGTGTAGACGCAGAACAGGAAAGTCCGAGCCGAAACTCTCTCTGAGCTGGAGACGAGCTGCGCGGATCCAGTCGATCAACACCTCAGTGACGTCGCCCTTGCTGCGCAAGGGGAAGACTGTGGTGTAACGCGAGTAGTCGTCAGCCACCAACAGGAAGTAACGCTCGTGCCCCTGGCCACGGACGCGGGCGGGGCCCCACACGTCCATGTGAAGAGTCTGCAGCGGAGCCTCTGTCGGAGGAAACTCGGAGGAGTGAGGGGCGGCGCGCTGTCGCCCCTCGACGCAGGGGACGCAGGTAGGGGCAGGCCCCGGAGGTAGGGGAGGGAGAGACCGGGGGAGACCAGAGACAAGGACACGGAAGGCCATGCCTCGGAGACGAGGCAGGGAGGGGTGACCAAGGCGGTGGTGCCAGAGGAGAGTCTGGTGGGACAGGAGACGACACGAGCAGGGAGCAGACTCAGGACCAGACCTGGACGCTGCAGCAAACACCTGACTCGACGCAGCTACCTGACCAGACTCAGCAGCCGGAGGAGACTCAGTAGTAAGTGTGTACAGGCTCGACCCTGGCCGACGGGTGAACGTGGCCAAGTGTCGGCCTGTCCGAGCACACGTGCAGTGGGTCACCCGCTGACTAGCAGGAGTGAACTGGTCAACCCCCCTATCCTGTAGGTCAGCTCCACTCACCAAGTTCGTAGAGAACGAGGGGAGGTAGAGACCGGACAGGGTGCCAGAGGGGGCTGCCGGGCACGGTAAGACAGTGGAGAAGCTAGCAAGGACAGGACCCCCAGAGGGGTCCGCCAGGGAGACCGCAACCGGCCGACCGAGCGGCGTAAGCGTGGTGCGGTCTCGAAAGAAGGAGCGGGAAGCACCCGAGTCAAGGGTGAAGGTGTGTAGGGCCTGAGGCGACGTAGTACCTGAGAGAGCAGACTCACCAGCACCTGGGGCAGCAGACGCACTAGCACCTAGAGCAGCAGCCTCACCAGCACCTAGAGCAGCAGCCTCAATGCCCGGGTCAGGCGGAACACACAGGTAACAGTCACCCTCATCACTAGTAGACACAGCATACATGGCAGCAAGAATAGCATCATAATCAAGATCAAAGATAGCAACCCCAGCCCTAGACAGCTCGTCCCAGCGAGGGATCTCAGTGGCGTCAGGGAACTGGAGACGCCACGCGTCCGTCAGGCGGCCGAAGCAGCGCTGGGTGGAGTGCGGGCCCCCGCACTGCTCACCAGCACGGTCGCCTGTACGGAGGACGTAGGTGCAGGGACCAGTACCCCCACCTCGCTGACGCCCAGCGTACCACTCACGAAGCTGCTGAGGGGACAGGGTCTCACGACTGCGCTGCTGCTGCTGGCGCGGACCACCACTGGAGCCACTCCTCTGCGCAGAGCCGCGACCGGCTCCACTGATGCCGCCGCCGCCTCCGCCGCCTCCGCCACCTCCGCCGCCTCCGCTCCCTCCGCCACCGCCGCCGCCTCCACCGCCTCCACTGCTGCCACCGACACCTCCACCCCCGCCACCACTCCCACCACCACCCCCACCCCCTCCACTGCCTCCACCACCACCTCCACCGCCCCCGCCAGCCCCTCCAGCGCCCTTGCCCCCCTTGCCCTTGCCGGTGCGGCGTCTCCCGCTAGGGGCAGACGCAGCGCCGACCGACTCGAAACCAACGAGGTCGGCCGCAGCAGCAGAAGCAACAGAGGGCAAGAGGGGGGAGGGGGAACACCCCTCAAAGATGGGGGTGCGAAGGTCACCACGAGAGGCTCCTACAGCGACTATGCTCTTCTCTGCTGCTAGGAGGCGCTCCTCGAGGAGGTCAACGGTGAGTGTGGTGTGGCAAACTGAGAGGAAGTGGTCCCTGACTAAGCGAAGGGAGTCAGGGAGCCGGGTGACTATGTAGTAGAGGGCGATGTACATGGGGGGGGGGGTTCTTGGCACAGAACTCAGCAGGAAGCGCAGCGCGGTAGCGAGTGTCACTAGTGCGAAGGTGCGTAATGAGGTCAGCGACTGTGGGAAAGGCAGCAAGGTCAGGGAACAGGTACGGTAGCATGAGGCGGCTAAGCGCAGCAGTGGCAGGGGAGGAGTAGCGTGCAACTACAGCGTCGTACAAGGTCTTAGCACTCTTGTACTGGCTAAAGTGCGCACGCTCAGTGGTCGGTAAGTGGCGACGCACAGCAAGGCGGGCAGCAGCATCGCGTGTGGCCCACTGTGAGCGAACAGTGCTGTCAGCAGTAGCAGGCGGGGCAGGAGAGACACCAGAGGTGAGATCGAACAGAGAGAGTCCGTCTGCCCTATCGCACTGTAGGAACAGCTGGAGGTCATCGACCCAGACCTCAAAGTCAACAGCACGACCCTCAGCATCAAAGGTAAGGACACTGGGGGTAGCCATGACTGCAGTGGTCTAGTAGGGAATGATCTCACCAGTCCGAGTAAGTGGGGCCGGGGCGCGTCGGTAGGAGCAGTAGGGGCTCGACGGCAGGGCGGCTCGGCGGCTCGGCTGCTGGGCGGCTCGGCGGCTCGGCTGCTGGGCGGCTCGGCGGCTCGGCTGCAGGGCGGCTCGGCGGGTCGGTTGCTGGGCGGCTCGGCTGCTCGGCGGCTCGGCTGTGGGGCGGCTCGGCTGTCGGGCGGCTCGGCGGCTCGGTGGCTGGGCGGCTCGACTGCTCGGCGGCTCGGCTGCTGGGCGGCTCGGCGGCTGAAGGGGCCGCTAGGGGCGGCGACGAGGCCGCGTAGGGAGGGGAGCGGCGACGGGGCTGCTAGGGGCGGCGAGGGGGGCCGCGTAGGTAGGGAGGCGGCGACGGGGCCGCTGAGGGCGGCGATGGGGCCGCTAGGGTCGGCGACGGGGCCGCGTAGGGGCGGCTACAGGGCCGCGTAGGGGCGGCGACAGGGCTGCGTAGGTAGGGGGGGGCGGCGACGGGGCCGCTAGGGGCGGCGACGGGGCCGCTTAGGGGCGGCGACGGGGCCGCTAGGGGCGGCGACGGGGCCGCTAGGGGCGGCGACGGGGCCGCTAGAGGCGGCGACGGGGCCGCGTAGGGGCGGCGACGGGGCCGCGTAGGGGCGGCGACGGGGCCGCGTAGGTAGGGAGGCGGCGGCGGGGCCGCTAGGGGCAGCGACGGGGCCGCGTAGGGGCGGCGACGGGGCCGCGTAGGGGCGGCGACGGGGCCGCGTAGGTGGAGAGGCGGCGACGGGGCCGCTAGGGGCGGCGACGGGGCCGCTAGGGGCGGCGACGGGGCCGCGTAGGGGCGGCGACGGGGCCGCTAGGGGCGGCTACGGGGCCGCGTAGGGGCGGCGACGGGGCTGCTAGGGGCCGCGAGGGGCGGCACGGGGGGCCGTGGGAGGGGCCTCTAAGGGACCTCGACGGAAGGGCGGCCCACAAGGCGCGCCTCGGGCAGAAAAAAAAGATTTCAGTGGTGGGCCCAAGGAAGCGTTCCCACTAGGGAACCTGCTCTATACCATGTGAAAGAATGAGGAATGAATGAACTAGCACAAGGTTGGGTACAAGTAGGAAACCCTAGGAAACTGTACCCCATAGTGTCTACCCCACTATAGCCTAGACAAGCTACATCATATGAGTTTGACAAATCTGGGCTGACGAGAGACATGGGGGTGATGGTCCCCACGACACTACGCCCAGATCAATTTGTTGGATCGCAGGCGGGAAGGGGGTCTTGACAGCGGGCGGTGAGAGCGGGAGGTTAATGCATCGTGCTGGCAAAAGATAAGCCCGCACGCCTCGTGATGCACAGTCGCTGATTCAGCGGCGTAAAAGCACGGTTTCTGGTACTAAGAACTCGAATTTCCGGAATAAAAGACCCCCCCCGTTCCTTTAAATAGACAGTGTACAGCATTGTATAATGTTTTATAAGAGTACATGGGTCTTATCTATTTCCATCCATGTTGTTCACCCTAGCCTTTTTAACTGAATTTTTATAAAGTCACCCGGGTCTTATATACGGGAAAATACGGTACCCTGACACAAACAGTGTATCTGAAATTTTAGGCTGCTGCCATCAGTGTACGGAAAATATTACCCTAGGGGTCAGGGTACTGGGGGGCTCGAACCCTGATTTGCAAGAGTGGCCCAAAACCAATTTTGTGCCCTGGCTACGGATGTCGCAAACGGGAGAGAGAAGAGAATTCGTCCTGAACAAGAACCAATACGGTAACAAACAGGTACCGTAGTCCTCTTTACCAGTGTGCTCGGGAACAAAACAGGATGAACAAGTGTACCTGCCCCATCTGTTCCTTGCTGAATAATGCACATTGAAGAAATTACAAGTGGCTTTTTCTATACACCGCAGTCTAGTTTAGACACATTTGGTAAACGCCTTGCCAAATCGAGAGAAAAATATAATTGTAATGTAGCTTCAAGAATGTTTAAACCGAGCTTCAGGAAGCAGGCACAGCCTCTTTCTTCTCGGCACCAGACGTGGCCGCAGGAACAGCCTGTGCTGATGGGGCGGGTGTGGGCAGCCCCACCAGCTCCTGCATTGGCTTCCAGTAGAACTTGCGCCTGCACAAGCACACCCACCCAGCAGGCACCACCCTCAGGTCAGGGTACGCCGTGAGCTGCACAAGCTGAGGCAGCTATGGATTACATGCCTCCCACAGTGATGAATCAACGTGCTGTGCTGTGTTTGGTACATGTAATCGAGTGCGTTCCGGCAGGAATGACGCTGTGACATTCAGTCTCATGAGTAAAAATTGATTCAGGGGAATGAGGCGGGTGCTGCTGATGGCCAGGGCAGGGGGGGAGGGGGGGGGGGGGGGGGGGGGAGCACTCACGAGTAGCCCATCTCCACGACCACCTTCACGTTGGGCCGCAGCGCTGGCAGCAGTGTGAGGAACTGCAGCTCGTTCTTCGCCAGCACCTGCATGCACACATGCACACGTGCCAGCCAACAACACACCCACCATCAGCGCACGGCCGCAGCACGTGGCATTGACAGCACATGCACAGGAATCGCCTGAGAAAATAGCCATTGCAATGGGCGAGCTATTCTCTCAGACCCTCAACGCTCCGCGGACAGATTCCCATGCCATTGCGCTTCCCATGCCAAAGCGCTTCCCATGCCATAGCGCTTCCCATGCCATTGCGCTTCCCATGCCATTGCGCTTCCCATGCCAATGCGCTTCCCATGCCAATGCGCTTCCCATGGCCACTGCAGCGTTGGCACGAGCAGAGGCGCATGTAGCCCGTGAACCAGGGGACAAGCCCCGCAGGCAAGTGAAAACAGCAAGCACGGCCCACCGACCGACCGTCCTATTCTCCGATCCCTCGTAGCATTCCCAGCCGTCGCAGCACCATCACACATCAATTCGCGACTGCCCCACACCAGTGCGCGACTGCCTTACGCCAGTGCGCGACTGCCTTACGCCAGTGCGCGACTGCCTCACGCCAACCACGAACGGCATAGCTGGGGGCTTCAGCGCCGCACGTCAGTGCCGTGCGTCCGCGTCGGCACCACCCAGCGTGCGGTCATCCCCGTTCGCCCCTCCCCCCGCCAGCCCCACGCAGACCCCGAAGGAGCGACGCGACGCACCTTGGCCTCGCCGATCCAGAGCACGAGCCCCTTGTACTTGGGCGGCAGCACGGCCAGCCGGTGGTCCACCTCGGGCGGCAGGTAGAACCGCGCCACCGCTTGCCGCCCCAAATGCGGCTGCCCGCGCGCGAGAGGCACAAGGCGGGTGTGGAAGAGAAGGGGGGGAGGGGGGAGGAGGGGGAGGGGGGAGGTGGGTGGAAGGGGAGGAAAGATGGGGAGGGAACGCGGATAGGGAGAGAAGGCGGAAGTGGACGAGTAAGGGGTTGAGGCTGGGCGGGGTGGCGCTGCAGTACGACAGCAACGACACGGCAAGGCCAGTCTGCCACGCGACCACACAAAATCTTACGAGCACGCATGAGAACCCTCGAGAACACACGAGAACACTCAAGAGGACACACGAGGGGAAGGGATGCACAACAGGCGTTTCTACGAAAAAACGGGCTCGCCTGTCCACCAATCAGCAGCTACGCGCTGGCCACCATAGCGGCGCGTGAATGGCGACTCATGCAGCCGCTGATGAGAGGGAGACCGCAGTGCGACCGCGACACCGCTCTCTCTCAGCGATGCAACGCTCTTACTGAGCGATGCACCACGGCATTGACAATGCAGCCGCCGGCCACGAGCAACAGATCCCGCGAGAAGCACGCACCGGGCGGACGCCGTGGGTCTTGAGGAGGTACGCCTCGGGGTCGCCGAGGCCGCGCGCCGAGATGTTCATCATGTGGTAACCCGCGTACTTCAGACTCGTAGCATAGCGGCCCTCCGCGCCGCCCTCCGGTGGCGAATAGAAGCCGACCGCGCCGTAGCGCTCGACGTCGTCTACCCATTGGCCGAGATCCAGCCCGATGAGATCGCCGCCGATGAAGTCGTCCAACCCGCATGTCACCACGCCGTGAGAGGCGCTCTGCGAGGGTAGAGCTAGTCTAGAGGTCTTGGCAGCTGCGACCTGCGACCGGGAGGTGGTCGCACGAAGGCCGCTGAATGACACGGCGTCGCATTGCAACAGCCTTGCTGATGCTGACCTGGACGAGAATTGCCGACTGCTTGACTTTAAGCAGGCGGATGGGCAAGGGATGGTCGCCATGGCTGTGCCTATGGTAACTGCGATGACAGGTGACTATCTCCCGTAGGTGACGGTTGTGGTTCCAGTCCACTTGGAAATCTCCGTAGTGGTGCTCCAGTGCCGCGTGGTGGGGTGGCGGGTTGAACTGGAGAGAGTGGGTTGCGCGTGAAAACGGGGAAGGAAACCAAAGGTGGACAGGAAAGCGGGACAAGGGAGAAAAGCCCAGAAATGATGACCACGGATTGGGGGAGAAGCGTCCTACGTGGCAAGCCAGCAAGAGAAGTGGTGCGGAGGTGGTCTGAGCTGATCCAGACCCACTACAAATCTCCAGGCCAGTGTCCCCAATATCGAGTAGTCATGAGGGTTTGTTACCGTATGAATAACAGCTAAAGCGTATACATTTGCAAGGTATAGAAAATTCTGGGGTTTGACGATATTTTTTCCCTTGTGCAAAAATAAAAAAGCTCTATCTTATATGGATTAAGTTTAATACTGTTGAAGTATGAAGGGAAATATACTTGGCATTCCCATATGTGCAGCAGTATCGCACATGCCAATATCGAAGCAGCACTAGCAGCAGCATCAGATCAACCCGTACCAAGGGCAGGAAGGTCAACAGTCGCAAAGTCAACTGTCGCGACTGTTGACCATCTGGACCGACGGTTGACTTACCATCGACGAATGGCAACAGGCGTAATCGTACGCACCGGTTACATGCAGCGACTCGGTAACAAGAAAGAAGTGCAATAGTCAGAGTCACTATAAAAATGCATGTAAAGCAGTTAGAATAAGGAATGTACCCCTCAGAATACATGTATAGCTAACTATTTATCATGTGTGTATTATTTGTTTTAATCAACTTTGTCATTTACATTCACTATTATCAAAGTTTCTACCACAAAGACTTCCGCTACCAAACTATTTTAAGGCATTCCTATCCTATTCAAGATCATCACTCTGACATGGTATCAGAGCTAATTGTCAAACTCATGTCATATAGCTTGTCTAGGCTATAGTGGAGTAGACACTATGGGGTACAGTTTCCTAGGGTTTCCTACTTGTACCCAACTTTGTGCTAGTTCATTCATTCCTCATTTCTTCACATGGTATAGAGCAGGTTCCCTAGTGGGAACGCTTCCTTGGGCCCACCGCTGAAACTTTTTTTTCTGACCGGAGCGCCAGTCGCTCCTGCCCGAGGCGCGACATGTGGGCCGCCCTTCTGTCGAGCTCTCTTAGAGGCCCCTCTCACGGCCCCTCGCGCCACCCTTAGCGGCCCCGTCGCCGCCCCTAGCGGCCCCGTCGCCGCCCTTCCAGGCCCCTCGCGGCCCCTCGCAGCCCCGTCGCCGCCCCTACGCGGCCCCGTCGCCGCCCCTAGCGGCCCCGTCGCCGCCCCTACGCGGCCCCGTCGCCGCCCCTAGCGGCCCCGTCGCCGCCTCCCTCCCTACGCGGCCCCGTCGCCGCCCCTACGCGGCCCCGACGCCGCCCCTAGCGGCCCCGACGCCGCTCCCCTCCCTACGCGGCCCCGTCGCTGCCCCTACGCGGCCCCGTCGCCGCCCCTAGCGGCCCCGTCGCCGCCCCTACGCGGCCCCGTAGCCGCCCCTAGCGGCCCCGTCGCCTCCTCCCCCTCTACGCGGCCCCGTCGCCGCCCCTAGCGGCCCCGTCGCCGCCCCTACGCGGCCCCGTAGCCGCCCCTAGCGGCCCCGTCGCCTCCTCCCCCTCTTCGCGGCCCCGTCGCCGCCCCTAGCGGCCCCGTCGCCGCCCCTACGCGGCCCCGTCGCCGCCCCTAGCGGCCCCGTCGCCTCCTCCCCCTCTACGCGGCCTCGTCGCCGCCCCTAGCGGCCCCGTCGCCGCCCCTACGCGGCCCCGTCGCCGCCCCTAGCGGCCGCGTCGCCTCCTCCCCCTCTACGCGGCCCCGTCGCCGCCCCTAGCGGCCCCGTCGCCGCCCCTACGCGGCCCCGTCGCCGCCCCTAGCGGCCCCGTCGCCTCCTCCCCCTCTACGCGGCCTCGTCGCCACCCCTGCGCGGCCCCGTCGCCGCTCCCCTCCCTACGCGGCCCAGTCGCCGCCCCTAGCGGCCCCGTCGCCGCCCCTACCCGGCCCCGTCGCCGCCCCTAGCGAGCAGCCGAGCCGCCGAGCCGCCCAGCAGCCGAGTCGCCCAGCAGCCGAGCCGCCCCTGGAGCAGCCGCCACTGCAGCAGCCGCCCCTGGAGCAGCCGCCACTGCAGCAGCCGCCCCTGGAGCAGCCATCCCTGCAGCAGCCGCCCCTAGAGCGCCCGCCCCTGCAGCAGCCGCCCCTGGAGCAGCCGCCCCTGCAGCAGCCGCCCCTGCAGCAGCCGCCCCTGGAGCAGCCACCCCTGCAGCTGCCGCGGAGCTCTCGCCCTACAGTGGTAGCGGCCTCGCCGTTGCCGCCGTCGTCCGCCTGCCCTTCTCGCCACTGGTGAGCACTGCCCTGCCCGTACTGCTGTTACTGCTGCTCTTGCTGCTACTGCTCTTTCTACTGCTACTGCTGCTCCTGGCGTGGCCAGATGCAGCTCCAACGTCGCCCACGTGAGTCCCTCACCCCCCAACAGCTTCGTGAGTGGTACGCTAGTTGGGGTTGTCGGGGTGGCCGTAGTGGGAGTCGTCCTGGAGTGAGTAGTTCCACAGCTGCTTGTAGTGGCCAGGTGCAGCTGCAGCGTCGCCCGCGTCAGTCCCTCACCCCCCAACAGCTTCGTGAGTGGTACGCTAGTTGGGGTTGTCGGGGTGGCCGTAGTGGGAGTCGTCCTGGAGTGAGTAGTTCCACAGCTGCTTGTAGTGGCCAGGTGCAGCTGCAGCGTCGCCCGCGTCAGTCCCTCACCCCCCAACAGCTTCGTGAGTGGTACGCTCAGGGTAGAGGGTCGCTGAGTAGTACTCGCTGCCCGTACGTTATTAGCACGGGTGTCCGGACTGGTCAGCCTTGCGGGACGCGTGGTCACACAGAGTCCCGCTGCTTCGCCCGTCTGAGCGACGCTTGGCGTACGGAGTTTGGCGACGCGGCTGAGCTCCCTGACTGGGTGGAGCTGCTTAGGCTGCGGGTAGATATCTATACTCTTGACTATGATGCTATCCTCACTGCCATGTATGCATTGCCTACTAGTGATGAGGGTGACTGTTACCTGTGTGTTCCGCCTGACCCGGGCATTGAGGCTGCTGCTCTCGGTGCTGGTGAGGCTGCTGCTCTAGGTGCTAGTGCGTCTGCTGCCCTAGGTGCTGGTGAGTCTGCTCTCTTAGGTACTATGTCGGCTCAGGCCTTACACACCTTCACCCTTGACCCGGGTGCTTCCCGCTCCTTCTTTCGAGACCGCACCACGCTTACGCCGCTTAGTCGGCCGGTTGCGGTCTCCCTGGCGGACCCCTCTGGGGGTCCTGTCCTTGCTAGCTTCTCCACTGTCTTACCGTGCCCGGCAGCCCCCTCTGGCACCCTGTCAGGTCTCTACCTCCCCTCGTTCTCTACGAACTTGGTGAGTGGAGCTGATCTACAGGATAGAGGGGTTGACCAGTTCACTTCTGCGAGTCAGCGGGTGACCCACTGCACGTGTGTTCAGACAGGCCGACACTTGGCCACGTTCACCCGTCGGCCGGGGTCGAGCCTGTACACACTTACTACTGAGTCTCCTCCGGCTGCTGAGTCTGGTCAGGTAGCTGCGTCGAGTCAGGTGTTTGCTGCAGCGTCCAGGTCTGGTCCTGAGTCTGCTCCCTGCTCGTGTCGTCTCCTGTCCCACCAGACTCTCCTCTGGCACCACCGCCTTGGTCACCCCTCCCTGCCTCGTCTCCGAGGCATGGCCTCGCGTGTCCTTGTCTCTGGTCTCCCCCGGTCTCTCCCTCCCCTACCTCCGGGGCCTGCCCCTACCTGCGTCCCCTGCGTCGAGGGGCGACAGCGCGCCGCCCCTCACTCCTCCGAGTTTCCTCCGACAGAGGCTCCGCTGCAGACTCTTCACATGGACGTGTGGGGCCCCGCCCGCGTCCGTGGCCAGGGGCACGAGCGTTACTTCCTGTTGGTGGTTGACGACTACTCGCGTTACACCACAGTCTTCCCCTTGCGCAGCAAGGGTGACGTCACTGAGGTGTTGATCGACTGGATCCGCGCAGCTCGTCTCCAGCTCAGAGAGAGTTTCGGCTCGGACTTTCCTGTTCTGCGTCTGCATTGTGACAGAGGCGGGGAGTTTTCCTCTACCCGTCTGGGAGCCTTCTGTCGAGCACAGGGCATCCGCCAGACCTTCACGCTTCCGGCCTCTCCACAGCAAAATGGGATTGCTGAGCGCCGCATTGGCATGGTCATGGACGTCGCTCGTACGTCCATGATCCATGCGGCTGCCCCCCATTTTCTGTGGCTGTTTGCGGTTCAGTACGCAGCGCATCAGCTCAACCTTCAGCCTCGGGTCTCCTTGCCAGAGACCTCCCCCACCTTGCGGTGGACGGGGAAGGTTGGCGATGCGTCTGCGTTTCGGGTCTGGGGATCTCGGGCGTTTGTCCGCGACTTGTCTGCGGACAAGCTGTCCCCCCGTGCTGTTCCCTGCATCTTCCTTGGCTTCCCCCCTGACGCGCCTGGGTGGCAGTTTTACCACCCCACCTCGCGCCGTGTTCTGTCCTCCCAGGACGTCACCTTTGACGAGTCGGTGCCTTACTACCGTCTCTTCCCCTACCGCACTGCGCCCCTCCCCCCGCCGCCGCTCTTCCTTACGCCAGGTCCTCCCCCGGTAGACCCCCTCCCCCCTCAGGGTCCTGCCCCGTCAGGTGTGTCCCAGGTAGATGCAGTCGAGCCTGTCGAGGTAGCTGTTGACTCTGGTGCTGCTAGAGGTGCTGAGCCTGCGGGTGCCGGGTCTGAAGGTGCGGAGCCTGGGGGTGCTGAGTCCAGGGGTGCGGAGCCTGGGGGTACTGAGCCTGGGGGTGCTGAGTCTGGCAGTGCTGAGCCTGGGGGTGCTGAGTCTGGGGGTACTGAGCCTGGGGGTGCGGAGCCTGGGGGTGCTGGGTCTGCTCGTGTGGCCTCTCGCGGTGCTTCATCGAGG